TTAAATTTTGATGAAATCTAGTTTATCAATTTTTTCGTTTATGGATTATACTTTACATGTGTCATTTAAGAGCCCACGCTTCCTTCAAGGTTGTAAAGGGCTGGAGATGTATCTCAGTTGTACAACACTTGCATAGCATACACAAGGCCCTGGGTTGTTCTATCCCCAACACTAGGAAAAACAAAAACAAAAAACTCTGGGGGCTGAAGATATAGACCAATGGTAAGGTGTGTTTGACATGCAGAGGGCCCTGGGTTCAATCACCAACACATACACACACAAAAAAGTAAAACCAAGGTCATGATGTTTTTCTTATATTTTCTTACAAAAGTTCTGTTAACTGATTTTAATTTTGAAAAAGTATTAGCTTGCTTAATGACCTACTAGTGTTAACTTCATTCTTATACAACCTGAAGAAGTCTCTACTGTCCCCTTCTTTTGTGAGTCACCTAGAGCCCAGTTTTATATAAGCATGCTAGGGAATTTATATAATAATTCATCTTTCCAAAGGTAGAAAAGTAACTGGTTTGTCATAGGAGATGACTTCTCTATTTTCTTCCTACCCATTGTAGGTCAGGAATTTCCCTTTGACATCAAGCATAAGAGAAGGATGTTATTTCCTTTTGACTGCTATGTCTGCAATTCAAATCAGCTGTCAATAGATTATACATAAGCTATAGTTTTCTGGTTTGCATTCGACTTGGAATAAGCAATGTTATAATCTTACTTTAGTTTTATTCTAATAACCCTCTGAATTTTTTACTAAAGTAGGTACTAAGAAATAAGAATTTTGTGACTGGTATCTTTTCTTTCAGGAGGCCTATCCAAATTATAAGCTCCATAAAAATCAAGGCCCATGTCCAATGCAATTTTATTTCTGTGACTGTTCTTGGCATGGTGCTGAGTAGTTAGTAAGTGCACAATAGATATTTTTTATTATATCTACGTAATAAAGGCAAAGCGTTATACATTTAGATTTAATAGTGACATAATGTGATTTGTATCCCACTGTTTTTCTAAATCATCAAATGAATAGCCACTCAGTTCAGATTGTTCTCTCTGTGTCCTCAAATAATTCCCAGCATAAGCAGCCTGGTCTTGGACTTTAGCATTTGATACTTCACCAAATATTAACTAGCCAACACTAGAGTGTGAAATATTCCTTCTATGTACTTTCTGCTTTAGGGATTTTATGTTAGTAAAAGGAGAAGGATTTATGTGATCTGAAGAGAAACCAGAGTGTGGGGTTTTATGTTAGAGAAAAGACCTCAAAAACCCTTTCAGTAATTCAGTCCCCCATCTCCCCCTCCCCTACAGGAATCCATATTTTAATAAGAAAAGTTTTTAAAAAATCTTTAGCATGTATTGTGTATGTGTTAAAATATATGTATAATAAAAATTACCACTTGAACTATGTTTGAGTGTACAATTCAGTGGCATTAAGTGTACTCACTCTATTGGGCATCCACCACTGCCATCCATCCCCAGAGCTCTTTTCACCTTCCCACCTCGAACTCCTTACCCACTAAACGGAACTCCCATTCCCTGTCTCCCCAGGCCCTGGCAACCACTATTCTACTGTTTGTTTGTTTGTTGTAAGACAGGGTTTTGCTATGTATCCCAGCCTGGCCTCAAACTCCAGACGATCCTCCTACCTCAGCCTCCCTAGAACTGGGATTACAGGCATGCGCCACCATGCCCAGCTCCATTCTACTTCTTGTCTCTATGGATACGCCCACTGTATAAATGCAGACATATGGTTTTGTTTTTTGTCCTTTTGTGACTAGCTTATTTATGTAATGCCAAGGCCCATCCATTGTTGTAGCTTGTATCAAAATATCTCCCTTTCAAAAGCTGAATAATAACCCCTTGTTTCTGTGTGTGTTACATTTTCTTTATCATTTCATCCATTGATAGACATTTGAATTGCTTTCACCTCTGCATGTCATTTGATGGGAAGGGAAAGTAAAGTGGTAAAGTGGTCTCGGGTGTATCTGTCCTTAAGCAGTGGGATTGTAGAACCAATGCTTCTAGTCCAGTGGTATTGTACTCTTTTTTGGTCATATTGACAGCAACATTTTTATGTGTCTCTAGAAGCAGATTACTATTGCATAGCTGCTTCATTTGGGCATTTTAGAAATGTCTAAACAATGCTTTCTCCAAAGTAAAGACAAATTAGCCAGGCAGGATGGTGCATGCCTTTAACCCCAGTACTTAGCACGCTGAGGCAGGATCATCACAAGTTCAAGGCCAGCCTGGACTACATAGCAAGACTCTGTCTCATAAACAAAAGAATATACTAAGTGATTCATCATATATGTGCTATTGATTTCTAGAATCTCATCCTCCAAGGGAAGGAGCTTTATCTGTGAATCATGCCAACATGAAGAATCTGGCCATAGTAGAGGACTGTTTTTATTTAGTTTCAGAGTGATTCCCATAGGCTCTCCTGTGACCTTCTCAAACCATATGAGACACACTTTCCACACTTCTTCCCTACTGGCCTGGGCAGGGCTAGCTGGTGCAGCAGATCCCTTGGTGTACATGTCTTCTGTTACAGCGCTCAGCTGGTGGGATGTAGCCTCTGACCAGCTGCACTTCTGCAGCAAGTGCTCCAAGTAGAGGTCAGAGGCACCATGTGCGAGCTGCCCCTGCTCACTTTCACTGGACCAAGTGTCGTCTCCAAAGAGCTGGGACACCACAGTGTGGAACAAGGCACCGCTGGGAGTGGGAAGCCCGGGGCCTGTTGGGCAAGGGAGGCGGTGAGATGTGGTGCGGTGGCCCAGTGATGTTCTGCTCTCCAATGCTGAGTCCGCCTGGTGCTTCCACTGAACAGCATACTATAGCATCCACTAACTTGGGCACTTCAAGTCCAAGCCAAGAGAATGACCTCAAGTGAGGGGCAGAGTGTATAACACAAGACTCAAACCTACCGCCAATAATTATGGCCCTAGGCATTTAATAGACACAGTACTTCATAAAATGTTCGCATGAATGCTTAAATACATATGAACTACTGTTCATAATTTCCAAAAATATGATAATAGATAATAGAATCAGATAATAATAGAATGATAATAGATAATAATAGAATGATAATAGATAATAAATTGTGGTACATTCACATAGAATACTTTATAGCAGTAAAAATGAGTGAAGTACAGATATACCCAAAAACATGAACAAATTTTAAAGACAGAAGCCATATATAACAATACACACTGCATAATTCCATTTATAAAATTCAAAAACAGATTAACTGTTTCTGTTTAAGGATGCATAAATAGGTAGCCATGCTATTTAAGTTTTTAAAAATGAAGGAAATGAATCCCCTAAAAGTCAGAATGGTAGTTTATCACTGGGGCGGTGAGTAGGGATGGAATTTAGGATTGGGAAGAGAGAGTCATGTTGTGGGAGGGCAGGAGGATTCTGGGATGCTGAAAGCAGTTTGTTCATTAACCTGAATGGAGATCCTGTTGGTGTTCATTTTATGGCAGTTTGTTGAGCTGTACATTCATATTTTATGCACCTTTCTCTGTGGTCATGATATTCATAATTTAAGTTCTGTCATTCTCAAGGGAGAAATTACACAAGGTCATGTGACACAGTCGTACAAACAGTATTTTAGCTTTCTGTCTGGTAAGATGAATAAGTGCAGTTGACCCAGTTTGGAGCATACCAAGAAAGAACTGTGGACTGTCTGCATTACGGTTTCCTAATTACTGTGATCCTGATGTGGGTTCCTAGGCTTTGTAGTTCAGGGAAATGAAAATCAAAAGAGAAGCAGCACTAAGTTGAAACTTGTCAGCCTCTGTAGTCCACTAAGGATCTGAGGCATCGTTAAAAGTGTCCAGGCCTCTCTCCAGTGTTTTCACTCCTTAGAAACCGTGTTCACTTCCATCACCGCATGACATGGGAGAAATGGGGGACAGCAAACAGGACAGCGCCTCCTCTCTGCAGAGGAACTTCCTGCTGCCCGATTCATGCAAATGCTTCCTTTGAGCCACCATAGAAAGTAGAATTCAGATAAGCAAATCTTTGAACACCTTTTGAAAACAGTTGCCTTATTCACAGAATTTTATCCTTTTAAAGTTAAGAGTAAAACTACTTGTTAATAGCTATTAAACTGATACAGTGAACAGCTGGCCTGGTGCTTGGGTCTTGCTAGATACTGAAACCCTTCCCCTACATTCTTCTGACTTTGATGATTCTTTTTTTTGTTTGTTTGTTTTTTTCCGGTACTGGGAATCAAACTCACGACCTTGTGCTTGCCAGGCAGGCACTGTGCCACTGAGCTAAATCCCCAGCCCCTGATGATTCTTTAATTGGCTTACACTTCAAAGGCTTACCTGGCCTATGAGCAGACTATTCATTGTTTTTTTTTTGTACTGGAAATCGAACTCAGGACCTCACACTTGCCAGGCCGGCACTGTGCCACTGAGCTGTATCCCTGGCCCAAGCAGACTATTCAAACGGCAGTCCCAGTTCTGATATTACTTCTTAAGGTGAGCAGCAGATCAAGTGGCTGTAGCCCACTTAGATAGATAGTGTGACTAATTGGAAAACACTGAATATTTTCATTAAAGATACCCAGCCATCATTGCAAGCCACTTTATATCAGATTTTACATATGAGGGGAAAGCAATTATCCAGTTTTTTCTCAGGGTAAAACACTAGGATTTGACATTCTTTGACCATTTTATTCAGTGTCTACAGATTTGAGGGCGGGTAGAGTTTTTGTTGTTGTTGTTCGGTTTGTTTGGTTTTTGGGGGGTTTTTTTGGAGACAGGCTCCAACTATGTAGTCCAGGCCGGCCTTAAACTCGCTACCAGTATATAGCTGAGCTTGAACTCATGATCCTCTTGTTTTAACCTTGAGTGCTGGGATTACAGGTATGTTCTACATCTGGCTTGAGCACAGATTCTGAGTTGCAGAATTTTCAGCATTTTGAGCTGCTTTTGCTATGGGTTCTCCTTACCTTTCTGTCTACCCTCTTTCAGGGCCTGACGTTTCAGGAGGTGGAGAACTTCTTTACTTTTCTGAAGAATATTAATGACGTGGACACTGCATTGAGCTTTTACCATATGGCTGGAGCATCTCTTGATAAAGGTAATTAAACCCAGAATTTTTTTTCTTGAAGATATAAACACTGAATCTCTTTAATTTATTAAGTACTGCCTCTCCTTAACAGTAAAGTGTTTGTTGTTCTTGGCATGGTGTTTTGATTTATTTTGTTGGCATTGTATGAACCTTGCATTTCACCTTGAGATGCCAAGCTCAGCAAATAGATTTCATTATGCTAAGGACTATACTCAGGGCAGATGCCCATCTTTAAATGTCTGATTTTGGAAACAGACATCTAAGCAGAGGCACAGTGCATGAAACTGCACACTTCGCTCAGCTGAGCCAGAGTCAGGGCATAGATAATAAGAAGTAAAGTCATTCTTTTTTTTTTTCTTTTTTCTTTTTTTTTGTCTTCTTGAGACAGGGTCTCGCTATGCAGTTCAGGCTGGCCTTGAGCTCACTTTGGAGCCCAAGCTGGTCTCGAACTCGCAACAATCGTCCCGCCTCAGCCTCCCGAGTGCTGAGATCACAGGCGTGAGCTATCATGCCCAGCTTTTTTTTTTTAAGAAGTAAAATCATTCTGCAAGTGAATTTTATGCATTTGATGAGAAGGGATGGTTTGATTTATTTCTTACAGTAAAGATTATTTTTTAAAGATACAGTCATGACTGTAATAATAGGACCCCCTGTCAACTTCATGTAAACTCAGTTACAGTTTATATAGGCAATGTAAGAGAGCAGAAGAATTTAAAGCACAGCTTTTTCTCAATATTTTATTATGAAAATTTTCAAATGTTCAGAACTGTTGAAATAATTTTTTAAAGAATATCGGGGCTCACCAGGCATGGTGGCACACGCCTATAATCCCAGCACTCAGGAGGCTGAGGCAGGAGGATTGCTGCAAATTTGAGGCCAACCTGGGCTACAAAGTAAGTTTATTTATTTTAAATGTTCTTGTGCAAGTTTTTCAAGGACACATATTTTCACTTCTTTTCCATAAATATCTAGGAGTGAACTTACAAAGTGAGTTCAAGGTCAGCCTGATCTGCATAGTGAAACCTGTCTCAAAAAGACAAAAAGAAAAGAATATCCATGACTGAGAGTGTAGCTCAGTGATAGTGCATTTGCCTATTGTGTCCAGTGCCTCAGCTTCAGTCCCAGCACTGAAATAAATAAATAAATAAACAAACAAATAAACAAACAAACCATATATCTGTATGTAGCTTTGTCTGACTTCTTCAGTCCCTCTTGGGTTTTTTGTTTGGTTTTTATTTTTTGTTTTCCTAGAACTGGGTCTTGAGCCCAGGACTTTCACAATGTGCTACATCCCCAGCCATTTTTTATTCTTTATAAGAAATAATTTTGAGACAAGTTCTTACTAAGTTGCTAAGTTGTCCAGGCTGGGCCCCAACTTGCAGTCCTTCTGCTTCAACCTCCCAGAGTGCCACAATTACAGGCATGCGTCAGCATTCCTGGGTTCTCTTGTATTTCAGTGTGTTCAAAGTATACTGCTGTGCACCTGCCTCGCAAGTACAAGGTTGTGAGTTCAATTCCTGGTACCGGAAGAAAAACAAACAAACAAAAAAAAGTATACTGCTGACATAAGTGTACTTCACTCCTAACTGTGGATATCACCCAAGTTTGAAATTTGTTTAAAGTTGCCTCTTGTGTTTTTCCAGTCAATTACTGCCCCTGCTGACCAAGAGGCAAGACATTCATCTGTACACTTTCCCACGAGAGGCTAATTATTCTTGTTCTAGAACATCATATAATGTACACATTTCTAAGGTTTTTCCCGATATGTTTTTGAAATCCACCTATGTCGCTGTGCATATCAGTAGTTCAGTCCCTTTTGGGCCGAGTAATAATCCATTCAATGATTGCCCTATTTATCCATTCTTCAATGGACCCTAGCTATTTCCAGTTATTGGCCGTCTTCAAAAAAGCTGTTTTAGGGGCTGGGGATTTAGCTCAGCGGCAAAAGCGCCTGCCTGGCAAGCGCAAGGTCATGAGTTCGGTTCCCAGTACCGGAGAAAAACAAAAAAAAAAAAAAAAAGCTGCTTTAAATGTTCTTATGCAATTTTTTTGAGGATATGTATTTTCACTTCTTTTACCTAAATATCTAGGAGTGGATTTCTGGGTCCAGGGGAAGATGATTATTTCATTCATAAAATATATGGAAATCCAAAGCTGAGGATGTAGCTGAATGGCAGAGCACCTGCCTACAGAGCATGTGCAAGGCCTTGGCTTCCCTCTCCACACAGAAAGAAAGGCAGGGCGGCGGGGAGGAAGAGAGAAAGAGAGGAAGGAAAGAAGAAAGGAAGGGAGAGAGGAAGGAAGGGAAAGAGGGAAGGAGGAAGGAAAAGGGAGGGGAGAGGGAAAGCATTAGAGGGAAGGAAGAAGAGAAGGAGGGAACCAAGTTTTACCATCATTATTTGTTGAAAAGCTGCTCCATTGATTTACTTTGATACATTTGTCAAAAATCAAATGACCATTAAGTGTAGCTCTGTTTCTGAACTCTCCATTCTCTGTCTGACATTTATCTGTGTGTCTCTCCTTATGGCCATACCCACTGTCTTGATTACTATTACTTTGTAGAAATAGTATCAGCTATTGTGAATACTCCCAACCTAGTTCTTCCTTTTCAAGATTGCTGTAAGTGTTCTAGGTCCTTTGTTTTACTATTTAAATTTCAGAATCAGTTGGTCACTTTCTGGGCAAAAAAATAGATAGGATTATAGCTAGACATGATGGTGTACACCTATAATCTCAGCTACTCAGGAGGCTGAGGCAGGAGGATCATGAATTCTGGGCCAGCAGGGATAATGTAGGGAGATCTTCTCTCGAAATAAAATTTAGAAAGCTGGGGATATAGCTTAGTGGTAGAGTACTTGCCTAGCATGCTAAAGGCTTGACTTCAATCCCCAGGACCTAGAAAGGAGAAAAAAAATACAGAAAGAGATGGGATTATGATTACTGTTATAAATAACATTGACTATATGTATCAGTTTGGGGAAAATTAATATCTTAGTAATACTGAACATTCCAATTCACAAGCATATATCTCTCCACATTTTTATGTCTACAATTTCACTTTTTGTTTTGTACTCTGAAGCATACAAGCTGTGCACATATATTTTTTTAATTTAAGCCTAAATATTTTGTATTTTGATGCTACTATAAATGGAATTATTTCTTCATTTCCAATTGTTTGCTGCTAATATTAAAATATAATTGTTATATAAATTGATCTTGTATTCCATAATCTTACTAAATTATTCTAGTCATTCTGTGGATTCCTTAAGGTTTTCTGAAATGTAAACAGTCATGTTATCTGGAAACAAACAGTTTCATCCTTTTTATAATTTTTTTCTGGCCTTATTGCACCAGTGCAGGAGACATCCTTGGCTTCTTCCTTCTCTTAGGGGAGAAACCTTCCCTAGCTCACCATTAGGGTCACTGTTAGATTGTTCATAGAAGCCCATTGTTGGGTTGTGGAAGTTCTTTTCTCTTACTAATTTGCAAAGGGCTTTTTATCATCAGTGGCTCTTATATTATATATAGGTAGGAATAGAAAGACTGCATAGCTTTTTACCTGTACTCTTTTAATGCAGTAGATCACATGAATTATTCCTTATAGCCCTGAAATAACCTCAGCTTCATTGGGTGTGTTAGGCTTTTGACAAAAGCTTGATTTGATTTGCTAATACTTTGTTATATATTGAGGGATATTGGTCTGTAATTTTCTTTTGCTGTAATATTGTCTTATTTTTTTGTTGTTGTTGCTGGGACAAAATACCTGACACCCAAAATTAAGGAAGGAAAGGTTTATTTTGCTTATAGTTTGTGGAGGTTTCAGTCCGTACTTGGCAGATTATAAGGCAGAGTGGCACATGGCAGAGGGCTACAGCTGATGGCGGCAGAACACAGCAAAACAACAAGCACACACAGGGGAGGAAGTGGCCAGAAGCACCCTCTTTTTTTCCCTTACATATGCAAACTATCCACCCCAGGGCGGGTGCAGCTCTCACACCCCCAATCAATCAAACTCTAAAAGCCTGCCCCATGGCTGCATGAGGCTTTGGGGGGATACCCAGACACAAACCATAACATTCCACCCCTGGCCCCCCAAAGACTCATGTCCATCCCTTCATACAAACAGCATTTAGTCCATCTGCAAGAGTTGCCAAAGTCCTAACAATTGCAGCATTGCTGAAAAGGCCAAGTCCCAAGTCTCCTCTGAGATGTAAGGCAAACTCTTAGCTGTGACCCCCTGTACAAATGAAAAGTTAAACACTTTTAACATTTAATGGCACAAAATAAGCAGTACCATTCCAAAAGGTACAAACAGGGACACAGAGCATTGGGACCAAAGCAAGTCCAAAATCCAGCAGGGCTAACGTTACGTCCTGTAGTTTCATGACCAGCATCTGAAGCAATCTGTGGCGCACTGTGAGCTCTACAGGGCTTCCATGAGTCCACCCCTGTGGCACTTGTGGTGGTTATAGCTTTTATGGCTTTTTTCTTAGGCCTGCTTTGTTCCCTCCTTTTAGCTTTTTTCAGATGATCCACAGTCCTGACTTTTTTAAACTTCTGAGGTCTCCAGGGCACCTTTTGCTTTACACTCACAGCCTCACACACTGCCCTCTCAGGGGCACACTGCCTGGCCTCCCAGGCTGTTTGAAATCTGGGTGGAAGCCTCTTAAACCTTAGAACTCCTGCATTCGCCATGCACTTAAAGCCAGGGCCACGTGGATGATGCCAAGGTCTGCTGCCACCTGGAGCAGTAGCCAAGTATTCCTCTCTCTTGGTCACAGGGGTCGAGTGCCTGGATCGCTGGGCACTCTGAATCCACTTCTGAGGAGCAGATTTTCTATGCTGCCGCCATTCTGGAACCTGGGGCGGCCACCGCCATTCTGGAACATGGCACTCAGCAGCTTTTTCTTCAAAGCAGAGTCTTTTACCTTTGCCGTTTTGAGGCTGCAGAGGGTGGAGACTTGCTGCTTCTTGTGATGCCCTCAAGCCATCTTTTTTATTTTCCTGTT